CTATTTTTTAAGTGCTTGGGTACGTTTTTGCATAACCAAAATGGTCATGCGTTTGTGTACCCGGACCGAAATGCATAAGGTTACCGAAACGCATATGACATCGGCAACGATTTGCCATGAAAATGATGATCAATTTTCTTTATCTTTATAACTGCTAATAACATCGTACCTTTTGTGCAGCTCAGGGTATTGTAGACCAGGGGGATATACGAATCGACAGAGCGAACAGTGTAGTCATATGGTGCAGTTGGGGATGAAGCAGCGCAGAGCCTCCCTGGGTACCGGAGCCATATGAATTTGAGGGCAGAAACAGAAGATAGGAATGGAGACCGGCTAGACGCTCCTCCGCTTGGTTTTCTATTAACGGGCTCGAAAGTTTGTGGCTCGGGTACCCTTGGTATAGCAGAGCGGCCCATGGAAGAAGTTACAGCTGTGTCAAGTGCTATCCAAATGATTGACGGTTTCAAAGATTTGCAGAAAGTGCATTAAAAGTTAAACAGATCACAAAGCTGGCAATATTGAAAAGCCAATAGGTAATCAGGGCCATGTCCCACCCTTACCACGCCCACATTTCTGTGGAACAAAATGAAATTTTCGAGGAAAAATTAGAAAGATATGTAGTCCATAATTCTGTTAATTATTGTGCTTAATATCTCCTCAAATATGCTGTTAGATTAACTTTCGTTACTACGTCTTTATCATTTAAATTTTCAGAAGACATAGAGAATTTAGAACATTGTAGTTTTATTGAAGAAACCAAATCATTGTCCAAGCTGTTCGTTACACGGTGCACTGTTTGTAACTAGAAACCATTTTAGTGGAATGCATGCTTGGTTAAGGACATGGTCATGGTGAAATCCGACACGACCCAGAATAACTTAGTGACGGATTTCCGTATATTCTATGGCCTAAACCTGACTTGCAAGGTCAGTTTGTTAATGAACAAACTCTCCAAAATGTTACAGAGAGAATCAGCTGTATAGGGAAAGGTAATCGCTAGGAATTAACTGTTTGAAAATATGAGAAACCAAGTATCGGCAGATTTTCTCTATTAAAGTATTGTCAAAGAACTTTTAAGCATGATTTTATCGATGATTCTGTCCTGCCAAGAAGCAAAGAAACGCTGATCAGCAAACTGTAAACGAGTCTCGGTGGTAGAAGATGAAGATTTAAACAAAGGCAAAGCATACTGTCCTTCCCGGCTAAAATAACACAAACGATGTATATACTTTGAAATTCATTTTTAAAATCGTTTTGCCCAGCAAAAATTGAAAATTATCTTGTCTAGTCTAGAGTCGTTTTATAAGAATAACTTTATTTCCGAAAATTTTTTAAAATCAGAGTTTGCAAAATAGTCCATCAACTTTACTAAATTGCCTAATCTTTCAATTTTATTGGATGTAGTTCTCCTGTTGATATTCTTATGTTTATGTTTTATTGCTAAGCTTTGTTTCATTCATATTCGAAAGTTAATTCTTACTTTAGTTCCTTATTAAATATACAAAAAATTGATTACTCGCTACAATTAAAGGGTTTTTTCTTGGTTTTTACTAAACCCTTTCAAAATTTTAATATTTCGGTCCCCCCTTTTTTTAATTACGTTTCGCCAGCCCTGTTTGTTGGCAAAACTACAATATTCTCAGAGAAGTCTGACTTCTTCCTTTGTTCCCCAAAGGTATTTGCCAATCATCACAGTGGCCAATCAGTACACAGAATTTTAACGAGAAACCAGCTTCTCGCAAAATTAGGCTAACTTTGACCTTTCCATTACAATTTGATTACAGCGTTGTCGAAAAAAACAACTTTTGGCAGCAGCGGTTTTAGGGACTGCAAGGCCCGGGGCCTAAAAACATCTGCGGGGACCTTGTTCTTAACAATTTCTATCTTTTTCTTAGGTGTGGGACCCCTTTTGGCTACCACAAGCGCGGGGCCTGGGGCTATGGCACCCTGGAACCCCCTTAGAACCACCGCTGCCTTTTGGAAGAAAATTTTTGGCTGACAATCTGTCCAGTTTATCCTCAAACACTGCTGCTTAAGGGTCCACTGTGCGGCCTTCAATGTAAAGGAAGGAAACCCGAAGATTGCTGAATCATATTTCTACTTCAAGTCACACTGCATATTTAAATTTTTTTGCAAAGTTTACTATTTATTCTCCTTCAGTTTAGATTTGATATAACAATTTTGAATAGTGTGCACAACACAAGCCAATATTCGGCAACCACTAGTTGAAATCGTATTCTCACTGTCATTGCTATCTACACCAAAGACCCCTTACAGACCTACAACGGTTCTAATTATCTAAAAACATTAGCTTAGAAAAAAATTAAAGAATTTGAAAAGACATAACACATAGGTAACAGCAACAAATGTGATAAAATACGAAAGCAATTCAATATCGTAAAAAGAAGAAATGAAGAAATCACACAAAGGCAATCTATCAACTTCAAGACGTGGGTTTGTTGTTTTCACTTTAAACATTTGTCGATAAATAAGGACAACAAATTCAAGTATTTGACATCAACTTGACTAAGTAGCCAAGTAAATTAATTTGAGATACTGAAAGGGTCCATAATTTAAGTGTAAAAATTATCGATGGATGGTTATCTTTCAGCTCTAAGAGTTTTATTTTCCCAAACCTTTGGCCGTAAGCCATAAACCTTTCACATTTGGTAATAAATGTTGAATGTGTTTATTGAAAGAGCCTCGATTTAATTATCACCCCTAGATACTTATGAGACTTGAATTGTTTTCCTTTTGCAATCAAAAGCCGAGTTTAAGTGCTTGCTGGACTTAACAATTTTTTAGATTTCCCTCCATTTGAATATCATTTGGCAAATCTTCCGCAAGAAGATTCCGCAAGAAGTACTATATCTTACGTTTAAAACAATATATATAAAATGAAATTTTGGCTCATCTCTATAGTTACCAAGAAAAATTCATTCTTTTAAATCATTTAAATTCTACACTAGTTACATCATCACGAAACACACCTTCTTGAGGTGGGGTTCACAGGGTAAGCCCAAACCAAGACTATCCGCATTCCATTGAAAATCCTTTCGCTCTGGAAGTCAGCGCAAGGAAATACCAATATCATCCCAGTATACCTTGGCAATCTACTCTTGCTTATCGAAATTCTATGATTTGAAATTCTGTGTAACAGAATGATTTGTTTGATCTCATGGAGGTTGGGTATAAGACATAACTACTGTGGAAAAATTTTACCAATCAACTTTACAAAGCTATCAATTTTAAGCCTTTTATTTTAAGAAGGATAGTTCTTGTATTGAAATTCTAATGTTCACGATGCATTACTGTTAAACAGATAAAACTCAGTGGAGGAACGGACCAAAGTTACCCTTACAAATAACAAAGAGTCCCAAATCTTTAGGGGCCCCCAGCAACAATTTTTCTTTATTAATTTTTCTAGCGGATGCAGCTGTAGGCCTGGCCGTTTGTATTTTTATAGGTGAATCGCTCCTCTAATTTGCTGAGAAGAGCTAAATCAGTAACACATAGAATATACTTTAAAAACAATCAACAGATGACTTAAGCCCCTCTAGTATTTTTTGTTGGTTGCCTTTAATAGCCTCAGTCAGGAGTATGCTGTTTTACTTCTTTCAATTTATATTTGCTTTAACCATGAATTAGGCACCCCCTTTACTTGAAGTTTTTAAAAGAACAGACTCTTTCAGTTTCATGTAAAGCTGGCACAACATAAAAACAACAATTCTCTTGCCAAACAATCTTTTTGTTGTACAGAATTTGAGAATGGCTTTGAAAAACAAATTTTGAAACAAACTTAAGTTATTCGTCTAGCACTCTTCAGAGAATAAAACGTCAGAACATAGATGGAACGATGATCATATGTTTATGTAGTAGATAGATTCACAAACAAACTGCTAGATGGAACGATGATCAGGCTTTGCCATTAATGCCAAACATGTCGCCGTTATAGTTTTTCATCCAATTTGGGTTTTTCATTAAATGCTGCTGGATAGTGGAATTCCATGTTTTGGTTGTCGTTTTTGATCTGCAAGACAGAGTACTTTGTTCTCTTTGAGGGATAGTTTTGTTTCTATTGCTTGAAGGGACTTGCTGTTTTATTATATCCCCCAATCTACAATTCCTACCAATTTCTTCGACTTTCCTTTCAAAAACATGCCTGTTTTCTTAAGATTGAAAGGTTCTAATCGCTAAAAACGTACCTTTCGCTTAACTATCCTTTTCCAAATAGATCGAGGTTCATGCCTATCATAACAAAAACCGCCCAACAAGCAAAAAGTTAACTGCAAAAAATGCAATGACGGGAGAAATCGCTGTTACAAAAATAAACCAATTAACCCTTGTAAGTTTTGAGGATTCTCTGAATAGGAAAAGGGCAAATGAATGAAATTTTTAGGGGAGCGATTCTCCCTTCATGTTCTGTTTACTAGAGCGATTCATAGCTCGCCTCAGGTTGCGAGGGGAGCGTGGAGGCGAGCGCGAGCTATCGCTCGCCTCAAACGGCCAGGCCTGAGCTCAGCTGCTTGTTACGTCACTAATAAAATTATTTGGCATAATGATAACAGCCTTGATAGAGCTGTACCAAGGACATACTTATCTAGGGGGCATTACAAATCGGTGCCTTATCGCTAATTTAGAGCCAAAACGCCACTGCTTGACATTCTAGTAATTCACAAAGTAATAGCTAGCATTGACCCCTTTAACTGAAAGTTTGGCCCCCAGTTAGCCCCCCCCCCCAGATTTTTAAGGCTAGATTCAGCACTGCTAGTATTTCAATAGAAAAACTGACCAAAATGATCAAAATCACTGACAATAGAAACAGATACTAATGAATATACATGCAACAAGTTTGCAACCCTTGATCTTGGCATGGGATGAAAATTATACAGTCAAGACTGGCATGTCTTAGGCAGGAGTGCAGAGAAGAATCTGACTTGAATGGGGCTTGGGCAATTTTGGGTACTGAAGGAGAAAACCAGAAGCTTTTGAAAGACAAGTTTTGACTGCAAACTTTGAGACAATTATTTAAGAAAACATTCCTTGATACAGAAGCGAAAAGCTAAAAAATATCTATCTACAAGCATGCATGTATAAATTAAATTCACTACTGATTATATGTAAAAAATCAGAAACCAAAAGTCCATTAAATGTAACATGTCTATAACTACTTTGGTGAAAGAAAAAGAAACTTTTTACACTCTAAACAATCGATTTTACCCAGGTAGAGACAATCAGCCCAAGTACCCTAAATCTTCAAGGACATTTATTTCCTTTTAAGATGATTCTTATTGTCATCCCCCTCTTATTAGATGCTCTTCAAAAAGCTTATTAAGCAGTCTTACGCTGGTAGGCATATCCATCAAATATTTCTAGCGGTTAATCTTCCGAACTCCTTTGAATATAAAGTTATAACCAACCATGCTACAGATGGCAGCTTAGCATACTTTTGAAATGTCGCAAAGTTCAACAAAGATAACAAAGTAGAAAATGTCTAGGCTCAACAGCAACAAGTTAACAAGGACAAAACTAATTTATATTGGACAGATGTAACACCCCTTGAACACTAGATGAGGTGGAAGTCCTTGATAATAAACAGGGTTGGAGAACCATGTTAGAAAACAGTCTCTTATGAACCTAGCCTATTCGAGTCTCTGGTGTTCAGCATTTAGTCAAGTCTGCACTACTTTGTGTCATTGAATTTCAACTGACTGGGAAAATAAGCAGGCTTTTGGACACAGAAGCTTTGGGGTTCAAAAACACTCAAAATTAAATGACTAATGAAGAAAACACAGCTATTCATAAATGAAAGAAATAAATGGTAATGAACCAGTTCTCAAAGTATTTAACTAAATGTAATTGTTATCAGTGAAGAAAGATTTGATGTAATAATAGTAATGGAATTTCGCTCGTTCAAATAGATAGTCATATGATGGGCAAGCTTCATATTCTGTGTACTTACAATAAACAAATGATGATATTACTGCAAACAAAGATGAAATTAGAAAAATGATAACCATTTGCTTACTAGACAAGAACTTGCTTGATGAATGCTTCAATTCTCCTTCTGCTTCAGTTTCTGCAAATTTCTCCTCATTAGGTGTTTCATCAGATTTACGTTTGGCCTAGAAGAAAAGTATTACATTGAACCATAAATTAATGATATTGCTTAGTCTCTCATGGACAATCCTTTGAGAGCACAACCTGCTCTTGTTTAGAGATTTTACAGGTACATTTAATTTGTTATTAAGACTTAATTCAAAATTTTTAATACTCCAAACACTCAGGCAGTGAAATTGGAGAAGTTACATGGGTATTGAAATTGAGGAAAGGAATACAAAGTGTGGTTAATCTTTAGGCATTTTTCTTTAAGATTTATGCTGCTATCATCGTGTAATATTAGATAAGGTAAGGACGGGTCAAATACATGTCCTGTATAAAGGAGCAGTACCCATAACATAGGACACCTAACCCATGCAAACATCTAAGACCAAATAGGGGAGCATAGGATACAAACATGACACTAGCCAGAGTTATGTATAAATATTTAAGTAAAATTCAATTTGCATTGTCAGTGAGGCTGGATATACACATGCAAAGAAAATTGATGAAGGGCAATACATGTGAAAAATTTCAAAATCTTATGTTTTAAGTAGGTTAATGTTTAGAAACACTGACTCCAGCATTGCCCTTTTCACTGGCTTCATCTGTGCTGCTTTCTTCATCTTCAAATCTCACTTTCTTTTTCACAATTGGTTCCTTTACATCATCTTTAATTTGCTCATCAAGCTTTTTGACAGCATCTGAATACTGCATCTTTCCCATTTCAGCATAAATCATTGTAAAAAGGTCCAGACTTTTGATTGTCACAGGGTGGTTTTCACCATACACTTTTCGTCTCAGCTGAGTTGCCTTGCCACAATATTCAAGAGCTAAAGGAACATTTTTTTCCAACAAACAATCATGTGACAGCTTCTCGTATTCATTGGCTCTTTTGGCGTCAGATTCTACAGCATTATCATCCATTGTTTTGTAGCTTTCCTCTTCCTCATCTGCTTGTGTCCCAATAAGGGCAGTCTCGTAATATAACTTAGCTGCTTGCATGAATTGGACGGCTTTGGGGAAATCTTCAAACTTTGCATATATGCTTGCAATGTTTTGCAGACAGTTTGGTAGAAATGAAAATTTATTGTCTTGCTGAATTCCTTTGATGCACCCAAGAAAGCACAACAAAGCATGTTTATAACTCTGCTTCATTTTAAACCTCATTCCTTTATCGTAAAGCAGTACCCTCTCTTCGTCTGTCAGCTCTTGTTCTTCTTCTAGACGAAAACTATTCGCGTCAGTTTCTTCATCTTTCAAATTAACATTTTCTTCCAGCTTTTCTTCTTCCACATCAACATTGTCTTCTAGCTCTACTTCGTTTTCATCGTCATAACTCATATTTCCTTCGACAACTTCAGGCCGCTCGACAGGTGCGTCACTTTCCATGGATCTGCTGTTCACGATGTCCCTTTAATAAATGAATAGCCTTGAACGAATGATCTGTGATTATCTCTGCACGAAATTATTCATTGCAGCAGACACAGTTCTATTAGTTACGAATTCTCTGCAAGGCCCTGCTAAGTTCAAAACAAATCCAACAGCAACGAAGTGCCCAAAACAACCTTGTCTCAGTTTCATGCAGAGGTCATAATAAAATGGTACCTTGTGTAGGCTTTTTTCACTGCATTTTTGAGGTCAGTGGATTTCTCTAACTCAAACATCTTATTTTCAACATAACAAGTTGATTACAAAGTGTGGCTGGCGGTTTTATGCAAGGATCACAAAGCATTTTACAGATTGAGGGGGAAGAAAATATTTTTTAGGGGGGGGGGGGGGGTTGTGGTGGGCTAGAGCCCTTGAAGTCCCCCGCTTCCACGGTCCCTGGTTTTAGGAGGGGTCTAGGAAGGCCACCGCCTCAGGCCCAGCATATATGGTAGCCAGCAAGGGCCCCACATCAAGGCCTACGCCACGAATTTGAAAGTATGGGCAAGGCTTATCCTCTTTTACTGCAGCTTTAAAACTACTTGCTTCGAAAAAAGTGGAGGACTTGGTCCCGTTGGAGGCGGAATCAGGACCTAAATCATGGCCTTGGCCTAGGGCCCCACGGTTTTAGAGCCCTGTGCTAAATAAAGTAAACTTTTTGGCCGAAAATTGTAGCATCACTAGAATTGAGCAGAAAAATGACACCAGGTTATTTTAAACCTTAAACCAAACTCAACTTTCTCAAACATTGTTCATTCTTTTCTACTATTGGCCAAGACAAGCTGTGTGACTTGTCTCTCTTGACGATTGAAGCAAATTTGAGCAATACACTCCCCTCATGAAAGTATCCGAACAGTTTCAAATTCAGTTGAGAATCTGTTGTTAGAGAAATTTGTTTACAAATTTCAAAGTCAGTTTTCATGGAAATATTTTTATCAATTTCCTCGAATTTTTTCTTAAAGTTGTTTTGGCCTTTGATTTATTTATTCGTCGAAAAAAAGTAATCTTATCGATATGTAAGCAAACTCTGTGAGTGTTTTTCCTCAAGATGGTAGCGACCGAAACAAAATAATTGACTTCTGAGCAGCGTCTAGAAATAATGTTTTATCACAATGATGGGAAAAAGCTATCATTAATTTGCTAGTATCATTGAATGCCCAAAGACTGCCGCTTTCGAGATATGCAAAAAGATTTGAAAAACAAGAAGTCTAAAGAATTGTTCACGGTTAAAAAGAGCAAGAGCTCTCGCGACACCAACGTCTGAGCGTTCCGCCCTTATCAAATTTGCATCAAAAATGGTTTGCATCATTACGCAAAATTGCAAAAAATGTTTATAAACAATTAAACTTTTAAAAGCTGTCGATAAATATTGCAAGGAAAATGATAAAGAATTGTGAATGTACCCTCGTACCGACCGATTTCAGCAAGACTTGCAGCGGAAAAAAAATAATATTGCTTTATGGCCCTGGACTGAGTGATATGTCTGCTTTCAAAGAAGTTTTTGATCTGGTAAAATGTTACCAAATGTCATCCATGTTTTATAATCGATCGGTGGCAGCTCCATGCAAACATTTTTCCCAACTGAAAGTAAACATGTTGTATTTCTCTTTACTCAACAATATTTGTGTCTCAAGAACCAGCTTGTAAAAAATTACCAGGTTTTATTGGCCCATTTTAACTGAGTCTAAGTCACCCTGACTTTGCTGTTCTCCGCTTATTTGACATCAGTTGATTTGCGCAAGGCTTGTAGCGCAAAGGTTTCTCATTTTAACAAAAAATGATAACAGATAAAAAGCGCAGAAGTTTTACAGCATTTTGGTGTTCTGGTTTTTTCTGGAAGGGTTTCTCAAAAAATTATTATCACCAAGTTAAAAAGTCCTTTTCGCCAGCCTAATTTTGTTTTTGTCTGAAAGCGCAATCGATCTTCGAACTGTCCGGGTACTTTCGTGAGGGGAGTGTGGAAGGTACGGGTACAGATAACGTACCTTCAATTCAATTATTCAAATTTTTAAAGCGGAAAGCTTCGAATTTTGATCTTCCTTTTTTGACTACATCTACAAAAAGTTCCGAGGAAACCCCTAAATGAAAAATAAACGAAAATACATCCTTAAATTATATGCGTAAAACTCCCCAGAAATTACTAAAATTACTGTTCTAGACATGTTTGCGAGATCTCGTTGTGTTCCCTGGCTTTTGGTGTTGAGGATGCCCGGGATTTTGTAGGGATAATTCGTTAGAATACGCATGCGTCCCTGCCCCTCGACGTTGATTGGCTCGAACAAATCATTAAGCCTTTTTTCTCAAACAATAGGAGTGAGATCTCATCTCCCCAACAACTTATCTGAAGAGTTTTGATGGGAGAGGGTCAGACCAGCCACGCATTCATTCGGCTTGTAAATGTTCAGCTTAAGCCATAAATTGGTACAACAGAGCGACAGTTGATTTAAGCTAACGCCTGATTGGTGCCATTTAAATCGTTATTCTCTGGATTACTGCAAGCACTCCAATGAGTATATTCAAGATATTTCTGCAATGTGTATATCGACCTTTAGCTTGCTGTCCATTACCATTCCATGGACTTTTCCACCACTTTTCATGGGCTTGTTTCTTTGATTAGCTTCTACACTGTCTTTGCCATCGCAAAGTCGATTTTTTTAACATTTTTGCCAGTAATGAAAAACTGAGACATTTACCAATCACAGATTTTTCATACATAATATTGAATTTATTATCCATAAATCATCGACTACACTATAGGAAGGCTGTTGTTGTTCATTAATTCCTGTATTAGTCTGTTTTTCCAGTTATGAATTAAGTGATGTTTTTTAGGTCTTCTTTAACGTGCAGAAAACACGGAACCAGCAGGAAACAATGTAGAATTTATTCGATTGATTTACTGACTGACTCATCACATTCAGTAAATTACTGATGTAAAATGTCAAATCTATAAGAACAACCAATATTGCCGAAATCCATCTTGATTTGATAAAATAAACGATTCTTTGAGCAACGACTTAATATTGATCACTTTCTCCATAATTTTAAACACAAATTACCTGATGAGTGCATTAAGCATGAAACTTCGAGTTGCAACTTAGAACCTTCCTCTTCTTCTGCTTCCACGACAGCAATTTTCACTATATTCGACGTTAGACTTATTCAACTGCCGTTTTATTTTTGTATATCGCTCTTTTTTGAAATAGGAATGGTTTTTGCAAGCTTCCATACATGTCGGACAAGGCTACAGCTAAAACTCGATTCGATTGCAATATCAAACAAGTAGGGTATGCCTTTCCTTTTCATTTGATTGCTCATTCAATTTCCGAGAGTGCATATAGTTGAATTTCCTTTGATGCATTCAAATTCTTTGATTGACTTCAGTGACCTAAATGTCGGGCTGCATTTTGGTCTTTGATAATAGATGTACACTCACTTTTTTATAAGAAACAGGTTATAAGAAACGGTAGGCTCAATTTTTCGAAAGTTAAGAAACAACCCTACCCAAATTTAAAAAAGCTTAGAATCTTTTATAATATGCAGTTTTAATTTTCCGAGTTGACACTCGAAACAGTCTTGACATTGAACATCATTGTATATTGCAACACTACACTTGACATGCAGTTTGCATTCATTCTCAGTAAATTGCACATTGAAGAAGTTTCCATTTAAAAATTTGTTTTGACTTCAACTTGACATTGATGAAACTCAATAAGCTTAACTGTTTACAGATCTCAGCAGAGTTAGTCATTCTAGGAAAACCAAATTCCTCGATCACTTTGTTAATATAACTCTGTATACTATTTAATGGATAACTCTGTATACTCTGAGTGAACTATTTACTTTACTCTGGAAGTACGTTTAAATAATTCATTACCTAAGTAATTTAAGAAAAATTTAAGGAACGTTTGATAGCAAAATGGCCAGAAAATTTAAGAAACTGCCTACCAGCACCGGACCTTAGCTTCTTATAAAAAACATACGTGTATTATTTTTGTTGAAGGCCAACTTGACAAGATGGCTTAGAAAGCTGGCTTTTTCTTGCTCTTCTGTCTCCTTTGGTTGGTTTGTACGATTTTTGGTCAGCATTTTAACTTTGCCTTTACTTTTAAATTTACATATCTCTAAGATATCATCGTATCTGTTCCTTACGATTGTCATCGCATTTTCTTGTCCCTACGATTGTCTTCTAATAGGCTTACTGAGGCTAATATTTAGGCTCACAAAGCGTAAGTTTCAGCGAATGTTAATTTAGCAATTGCTATATTTGCAATTTTTTTGCAATTTTTAGCAATACTCAGTTCAATGAGAAATGATAACAGATTTGTACAGTGATAAAACGAAGCATTGAATTGATAAAGGGAGGTTTTTCAATAGAAAATCGTCCAAACACCGCATACTTATCTCAACTACCTTGAAATGTTCATGCTTTTAAGATAAATTAATTGCGGTTATTTTGGCTGGCTGTCATATACCTAGCTTGTGCTGATAAGAATTATGCTATAGTTTGACAAACCATATTCCTAGGTTAATGCATCCAGAATGGCATTTTTGGTAAAATATAGGAATCTTGGGACCTCTTCATAGAAATAAACGAAGGATAATGAAAACTTTTAAAATGTCCTTAAAAAGAACAAGTGTAGCGATGTCATTTCTGTAACATGGTTCAAATGTTTCATGGGCAGTCGACAACAATGGGAGCAGATGTGTAGTCATGCGTGAAGGCACCAACGATTGCCGTAGCGCTGATAAACTGGTACGATTGAAGCTTAAAACAAGTCAGCACAAAACCAAAATCAATCTTTGCTAAACCAATGGAGAAATCACAAACAAACCAGGAGAGATAACACGAAAATTTAACATTAATAACTCGGAAAAATGTTTTATTGATTAGAGAAATGATGCAACGAAAGCAAACCTAAAAAGAATTATGGAGATACACAGCATTGTTGTTGCTTTGATTTTCTCTCAAGTTGTTCTCGCAGCGTATGCAAAGGTTATTAGCGAATATATAGTGCAAGAAGAAAATGGAGAAAATTCTGATTATCCAAGTTACAAAAGGACTACAAAGAAGGCATATTGTGTTTTCTCAAAAGAGTCAAAAGAAAGCAAATTTATAGACTTTTTAGAAGAGGTATGTCAATGTTTGATTAAGCTTCAGTACTTTCTGCTGCTTTTAGATGTTTGTAAATTTCTACTGAGCAATATTCTTGCATCTTGTCTACGTTTGTGGTTTTCCTAAGAAATAAACTTTCCTTCTTTAAACAAAATGCAATCAATGTTTGTGAAATCGTGAACAGAAACAGTGCAAGTATTGAAGGTTATTATTACTATCAATTTATTTTTATTTTTTAATGAAAAATGGTCCGAAGCATTGGCTGAGACTATACGACATGATGAATCTTGATTTTCAATAATGGATGCAAGTTTTTGCTACCGCAAAATTTGTGTTGAATTGATGTTTTCAGTCCTAAATAAATCTCAAAGAAATAGCTAATATAAGATCTTAGAAGCTAATGTAGAGTCCTCTGACCCTGCCGTTCCCTTATGCGCATTAAATGCATGTATTAAGTACAGTTTGATTCTTGAAAAATTCAGTTATTCCTTACGGGATTAACCTTATACCACAGACAGTTTCCTAACCTCCTCTTTATTTTTCTCATCTTTCTCTAAATTAAATGATTTCATTTTTATTTTCTTTTAAATTCTTTATTCACAGTAACACTGTCAATCTAAGCAGATTGCTTTTCTGAGGACAGTGAACAGTGAATTACTGACTTCTAGTGTCAATGAGGTTTTCAAAAGAAATAGCTGATGTTTTAAAACTTCTTTTTGTTTTTATAGGTTAAAAAGCGGTATTACGACCTTCATCCATTTCTTATTGGCACAATGCCTAACGTTGACCGCGAAACAGTTCGTAAGACATTTAAACCGTTCGATGCAAGACCAGAAAAACGCAAAGAAAGGACGGATGCTGCAGCGGAGCTGTTAAAAAAGCTGAAAACGCTGAAAATATCGGATGCAAAATTGAAATCGCGTGAAGCGAGAGCACTAGCATCATTAGAGTACTTTTTACAACATAACTTTGATTTTCCATTGGAACATTACTATGAAGGAACCTGGATGCTAGGCCCGGACTATCTTTGTAATCACATTAGCTGTGACGTAGGCACACATTTACGGACTGTCCTGCGCAGATTTAAACCAAAGACTGTGAGTGACATAGAAACAGTGATCAAATGGATCATGGGATTTCGTGAAACGTTTGATCAGCTGAAAGAAAATTTGAAGCTAGGGGTAGCTGCTGGCATGGTGCAGCCGCGCGAAGTTTGCCGCGCAAGCATAGATGCGCTAGAGCAAGCTTATCCTGAATTGTTAGAGAATGGGCCTAAAGGCATACTGGATGATTTTGTTGGATGGATGATTACACAAGGCAGTTTTTTGACAATGGTCGAGAAAAGTGCTGAAAAGGAATGGAAAGAAAAAAACGGCTTAACCATAAGACAATCTCTGGAAGAAGCTTTAGTGAAGGGTTTTGGCAAACCGTGGCAAGAATACATCGATTATTTGAAAGATGACCACATGAAGCATTGCGTCACGAGTGACATTGCCAGTGGCCTAAGCATTCTGCCTCTGAGTGATGTGTACAATAACGGAAAGAAGGATGTGAAGTAAGTCATTTATTGATAAATACAAGACGTAAGACAACAGAGAAGGAAATTCATTTTTTCAGGAGGGAAAAGGGGGAAAACCTCACAAACAAGCAAATTTTGCGACGAATGACAAAATTTCCTGACAAAAGTGTTAAAAACTGTCAGAACTGTGCTATCAAAACTTCAAAGAAGCAAGATGTTTGACAAAATGAAATGTTTCAACAACCATAGTTTTTTGCTTATGGGTCAGATTCTTTTGATTTTATGTTAACTTTTACTTAGTTTTGCAACCTTTTACTTAATTATCATGAGAAAAAATTAAAAGGTCGAAATTTCACTGACCATGTTTTTTCACGCTACCTGAAACGTAGCTTTCAGTCACTTGTCACGATGTTCACAGGGCTTAAAATGATCAGTGGCCTTAAGTTTTATGATTTACACTTTGAAAAATTCGTTTAGGCCGGTTGCTAGATGAAGCCGGGGTTCGCATAATACTTTTATTTCTGAGCGTTTGACAAGCTGTACTTAGGCATGATTTTACGAGTGTATTCGTGAGATTTCCAAGATTATTAAGTCTAGAATCGTCTCTGGCGCGTGTGTAGTGGCCTCGTAATGCAAGTTCTTGCAAGAACCCGGATTCAATCTCTTCCCTCTCAAACCAAACTGATGTTCTCGACCGCTTTTATGCAAAATATTCATAATAAGGACAATTTTTCAATTCTGTCAGGTCTACAATGAAGTTACCAACAGGCGAAATCATTGATGGGAAGAAAATTTACGAACAACTGATCCATTACTACACAACTACCAATTTGCCTGTCGAGGAGATATACCAAAAAGGACAAAAAGTGCTGGATATCTTTTACCCCAAGGTAACTTTAAAGTGGCAAGAGGCCCCCTAGCTTGCGTTACTACAATCCTTGCCAATCACTTGAAAAACTTCCTTAATATTTCAAGCACCAACCTCCCCTCCGCTCTCCGCCTCCTTCGCCTGTAACAGTGCTTACTATATTTATGTGTGTGCTTTAAAAATATCTGTTCTGATGTGCCAAGCTTCGCTGCAATCAAAAACGAATAAAAAATTTGCTAATCAGCATTGTTTACGGGGAGGAGGAGGTGGAAGTTGTGCGTTGTTGGAAGTTGGGTGGTCGGGAGATGTAAAGAGAGCGTTATGTTGCGTTCTTTCATGACGTTTTGGCAAGGATTGTGGCTTGCAGGGGTAGCTTATACGTTATACACATATAATTTATAGATTCTTGTTATTAAAAGTGTAATTTGTTATTCATTTAATCAATATGTTGTTATAGTTGGTATAAAGATTTTATCTTGTTGGTATCGATTTTTGTCAACCTTTTGAATACATCATCACTATTAGATATAAGCTCTTAAACGACAAATATAATTATTGAAAGAGCTAGTAAATAAAAGAATGAATGAAAGAACGAAAAAAAAATGAATGGCCGATAAAACTGGGTGAATGAACTAGCTAATTAATTAACTAATAAATCCAAAAATTTAATGAAAGAACAGGGTAATGACGATTGTTCTGAGTAAATTACATTTGAATTATCATTCGTGTTTATGCCACCTATTTTATGACAGAAAATAAACTTTTATTCAAGATGGAGAAATTAGCACAAGAAATTTCCAATGCTTCAGAAAGAGAAACCAGCATTAAAAAGTTCAAAGAAATTGCTGCTTCACCAGAAGAATATTTCAACGAAGGACCGTTTCCAAAAAATGAAACTGGCGATGAGGCCCAAAGCAAATGTTCAAGTGAAAGAAGTAAGGAAAAAGAAAAGAAATTGTTACTTGTAAACATTAGATTTTGAGGAAAGGGCGGTGAATAGTTCCCCATGCTATTTCATCGCATGTCTCTTCGTTTCATCTTCGGGTACAGAAACAACTTTAGGTTAACAGGATACTATTTTCAAATTTGTACTTTATCTTGCAAATATTCCAAAATCACTCACCCGTGTTTTTATTCACAAGCGGCAATGATTTACTGCCCCAAACGATGGGAGGCCCTGCAAAAATGGTTCAAGTTCTCTAGAGATGTGATGCAAAAGATCAACAGCAAGTTGCCAAGTCTCTTCTTCCACTCGGGTGAACGCCGGAGTGTGCCATCGTGTCCCGTCAAACTCGTACCAGACTTCAATCCGTCTGCTGGGGTACCAAGCTACATTGAAGGAGACGAAGATTGTATCGACCCAGGAAAATACTTTATTCCTTTTTTCAATGAAAAGAGCGGACCAAAACACGAGGACACGACAACGAACGGACATGAGGCGAGGCCAGGGCACCATCTTCAGGTAAACACACTTTCTGAATAAAAAGCTAGTGTTAATGAAATCTTTTTTAGCAATCTGAGTGATATTTCATACTCAATTAGTAAAGTTTAGCTAAAAAACAAAGAAAATACTTAAAAATTGGATTGGAAATCTTGTGACTTGAACCAACGACCAACCAGCTCACTATAAGTATATGTTCTTGCATCGATTGATGTGAAGTTTTGACTTTCTGTTTAAATACGTTCTTGTATACTTGTGGTTCAACGGAAAATGAGGCTTTTTTGGTTCTTGAAGTGGATGAGAATTTTATTGAAAAAGATCAACTTTGCTTTTGGGTCAACACCTTCAGATATTTTTTGTGTTGGACATTATCTGGAATTTCAAGAAAACATCCAGTGCATATTGCATAGAAGCTTGTATTTTCGATCTTTTTTATTCTTTTGGGTGAAATACACAAGAATCTGCAAATGAGTTCCCAATTTTTAGGCTGGATTGGTTTCCTGACAGATAATAAAAATATTTCAATTTGTGGGGTATAAATCAACTAGCCTGTTATACGCTGGTGTATACTGTGTTTCCCTTTCATAAACAACCTGAAATTTCTAACTTTGAAAAAGACAGTTGTCTCATGCAACGATACATTTTATTATTATCAACATATTCTATTAGCAAAAGTTTCCTATTGGTTACCAAATACAAAAATAGGTTTACACAAATTTTTGATTTGCTATATATTTCAATATTTAGATTTGGATATTTCAATATTTAGAGTTGGATGGGAATTGAGACCATCTACATGAACCACAAAGTTAATTGTAGTTTTCAACTCACGCGAGTTATAATACCCTGGGTGCCAGAGCCTTAGTGAAACAGTGGGTCGGTGAAAAAGTGGGTCAGTGGTACCCAGGATAAAGTTATAATGGCATTTTGTTGAAATGAAAAATATGAATTCAGTCAGCTAATGCGTTTAGGGGTGGGAATATTTTCGAATAATTGATAAGCATCCCCCCTACCCCGTTAATTGAGCACTGAATGGATGGCATGAAACGTAGAAGCACCCTGTGCTACTCACTGGAGATGCAACTAAAGAAAAGCTGTTCTGCGCGCCAGTGGTTTTACATATTGCAAGTATAAGAAAGCAATCATTGAACGAGTGGAGGCAGGCAGAGTGGGGATTCAATAGAGCTAAGCTATAAGCAAATTGTGAAACATTTAAGTGCAATAAACTTCTAAATGTGGTGTTTCCCCAAAGCAAGCCTTTTAAGAATATGACCAACCTCTTTCCAGGTCATTTGTTAAAAGGAAAGATGTTGACCAGTTTAGACAAAAACAGGCGTTGTTCCTGCCTAGAGGCGAAAACCCCGGGGGTGTGGGAGGGTGTGACACCCCCTCCCCCCCCCAATCTCAAAAATAGTCGATTTCACATGGCATGATAAATAATTTTTTGCAGCGCAGGAACGCCACCTCTGAAGTTCGTAAAAAGCCCGTATAGGAATTTTGAAATAGATATATCATATTTGCGATGCTCTTCCCTTCTTGGCATTGCATTAAAGCTAACGGAAAATGCAACGATGATTGACGCATATGTTTAATGCAAGGTTGAGTCCACACAAAGCAATTTAAGTTGTACATTCCCCACTTTTTCAAGATAAGGATTTTTACCGTTATTTTCTTTTATTTTCTAAAACAGTTTATGAGAAAAGGAGAACAAACTGTTTAGATACCGATTTTGTTTGGTTTATTTACTAACTTATTTACGTCGATGTGCAATCAGAAACGAAAGGTCACAATTTCTTTTCTTTCCCAACGTCTGTCACTTGAGTCTTAGCATGACAAAAGTTTTATCATAAACAATAATCAGTTTTTTCTGAGAAGCGTTGAATTTTCCTTCATAAGTAGTATAGTATTTAGCTAAATTTTAGCCTGTGAGGTGCATTTCTAGCCCTTCTACAAGGTACAATTTCAAAATTTACTTTTGCATCGGACCCAACCATGGTGGGTCCTCCCACCTCACTAAACTTGATACTCAGGCCCCCAGGTTAAATTTTGTGGCGTCGTCGCTATCATGTAGCCGAAAACATAATAAATATTTAATAGACAATTAAGTTTTAAATTTGTTTTTATTGCTTGTAAATTTATCCTTGGTAAAAAATGTACATCGGTAAAGCTTTCATTAGCATCCTATAGACATAACTTTGCTTCGAGGTCTGCAGAGCAGAAACCCTTTTCACCCCCGCCCCAAACTTACTGGCCTAGTTGCGCCCCTGTAACTAGTTTTGCCGACACTGCACTGAAGTCGAAATGATTTTTCAGAGCCAAGGTTATTTGGAAAACTTTGCTGATCCCTGCGATGACATCATAACCTGGCTGGATGACATGATAAGCCATAACACGGCTTTTGCAGAAGGATGGGGGCTGTATGCAGAGAACCCCCTTTTACCGGAAGACTTGGACTTATATAAAGACAATAAACTAGAAGAGTTTGGAATGACAAAATGGCAGGTAAGGCCATTGCGAATTTTGCTAAAAACCTCCTTTTATCGATAACCTTTGAAAATACAAATCGCAACATTTGGTGAAGTGTAGCGAGTTTAGGCTGGCTGTTTCACTGAGAGCATAGATTTGCTAAAATTAATTTTTTTCCCATCTCAGTTTTGTGCCTATCTCACTTTGCTTGTCTAAGATGTTTTATTAGAGATGCAAATCTTTGATACATTTGTTTTGTTTTTATTCAAATGAACGAAAGGTGAAGACCTAAAATCAATGAAAACAAAATATACAACGAAGATTTTCTTTTAGGCAGCCATTTCTGAACTTTCATTGATTTTCTTCAATGTCATTACTCAACTATTCTTGGAGAATCAATTGATGGAGTCACCAAGAGCATAAATTTTCATAACTAAATTCCTTTTTTGTTCCATTGACTGCTCCTTAATACATGCTAAAATATGCACAGTAATGAAATAATGTCTTTAAGCTCTATCAAGAATTGCGAAGACGGGGCTTGAATGTATTCAGCGCCTATTTATTGGAAATCTTTCGTGATATAAACATTTTCTTTAAACTCTAATGATCGTATTAACATTTTGATCTTTAGCTTTGGAGGGCCCTTCGAGTTATTGTTGATATTGGCCTACATTACAAAAATCTGACAAGGGATGAAGCATTGGCACTGTTCTCTAAATATGCTTGGGATTCTACAGATATGGTGAAGAAGGAGATAACGCGGTACCAAGGTAGGGTAAAAGACAAAATATCTTGTAACAAAACTGGTTCTACTCTTTAACCTTCACGATAACAACCCAATTTTCCTGACACCTAAGATCTCACAAGCTTACATTAGGAACAGGGGCATGAAAAGCGAAATCATTTAATGAGCTTTTGTTCACTATGAGGAATGTCCGCTATCTGAAGGCATCTTTCACGAAGCTTTGATTGCAGGAACGACATTCTGGGACAACGTTATTTGTCCATTTTTTGAAAATCTCCGTTGTTTAGTTTTTTTCGGGTTCTAGTATATGTCAGTATCTTTTACGTGTCTGTTAATTGAACGTGTACCATTTTCGGACGTGTCAAATGTTTGGACGTGACTCTTGTTCGTTGTGCGTGCGTGCCCGTTGCTTGGGTGTATCCGTTTATGGTTGTTACACGAGATTTTCTTTCTGACTCCAAGTCAGATAAAAGAAACGCCAAGGCCTTGAGACCCTTGAATGGATCAAAGTCTATTTATTTTACTCCGGTCCTTTGTGAAATGGAGATGCATTTAATCCCAAAACAAATTACATAATGCAGTTTAATGTTTCAAAAACGTAAGCAACGATTCAAAACCCTTTTTGGCAAAAATGACAGGTATCAAAAAATTTTCATTACCTCAATACTTTATTTGATAGGTACGCCAGGTCAAGCAACTTCTTATTTGGTTGGCCAGCAAGTTATTATTGAAGCAAGGAAGAATCTGGAAGAGAAGCTGGGAGATAAATTTGATATAAAGAAGTTCCATTTTCAAATACTGTCACAAAGTCACGCGACGCTGACTTTTATTAAGCGTTACATGGAGCACTATGCCTCGTGCAAAGGAGGCTCCAACAGAAATAGCTGCAACCAAGTAATGAATAAAAACGACTATGCTAATTTTTGTAAACGAGGCATGGAGAAGACAGAAGGCTCAAAGCTGAACAGAGAGATTATATCAATGTTACGAAAGAGAATATATTATTAACAATAATTTTTATTTATGAAATGTGTTATTTTATATCACAACTTTCTTATGATTATAATGTAGCATATTTTTCCCTGTTGCCTCCAGAGCAGTTGCCGTTTTTTAGAATCCACTTACTAGGAACAACAGTTAACATTGCCACTTCGATTTTAAGCCTCCAATTTTCCCTGCGTCTATTTAGTCTAACACGTTCAACATTTACGAATTTAGTTTCAAATCTGATGATAAACTGGTTACTCTTGGCTGACGATACGTAGGCTCGAGTCAGACAAACTAACCGTAAATGTTTAGAAAACCCGGTTTTAAAATTAATTTCCTCTTTATTCCCAAAACGGCTAGCAAGAAATGTTACTGTTTGGAAGTGAGAACAAAAACATTACCTTAGGCCGCTGCAACAGAAGTTTCTAACCTTCGATCGAGTGCTTCCACTTTTCATGTAGAGTAGCGTTAACTCCAAAAAATTTACTTTCCGTGTTATTTTGGAAAGAGTTTTTGCCATTTCTTTCCTTATCCATTTCTTCACCCCTTGCATTTCCATGCATCCTGTCATATGCACTCATTTCTCTCGTATTGTCTAATCGAAAATTATGGCATGGCATTGCTGTCGCTTGGTTTGCACCAATTCAAAATAAACAAGCAAGGATAGCAATACTCTAAGGACGCAAACTAAATCCCAAAACAACAACAGATAAGTAAATCGAAAAAATTTCACTGTTTAAAACGACCATACCAAACGCAAATCTCTAAACATATCATTTCCCATAGGAACGTGAATAGTTGAATTGGAGGCCTTTTGATAATTATCAGTGCATAAATAAAATGTAAAGCGGCACACACATTCCCAAGAGGTTACATACTTGTATTCTAAATGTAAACAATGCAGAAAAGAATTTTTAAAGACCACCAGATGAGAAGACAACGACAAACAACAACGATATTTAGAAAAGAGTTTACGAATATAAATAACTTCATTGACAATAAATCTGGACAATTTTTTCAAAAACCCCAAATCGCAAAATTTATTTTTTGGAAGTCTTGCATGTGCTTATAGTTTACTGACAACTTCAAAGGACGCGGATAAAAACTATTAGAATTTAGATTGCAAAAATTAGCACAAAGCGACATTTATGATATAATGCAAAAATCGCAAAAACTAGTTCGTACAGGACAGACCCCCGGTGCCATAATCTACAAATGCCTTTAAAAAAATGATGGTGAAAAACTATTCAAATTTATTACGCGATTTCGTTATAAAACTCGTAAAATGCAACATTGCTTAATGTATTGCAGGAAAATTTCATGCTATAAAAAAGATTTTTCACATCGAAATTACAAGTTTCTGCGTTTCTACTTGTTTGAAAACTGCATACATTAAAAACTACGTTTCTTGCACATTTTCGCTTTTGATAAAAGATTTGCAATTCAATACGATTTATCTGACAACTAATTGTTTATTTCGGTTGTAAAAAGGGAGATTTAATGTATAAAGAAGAACTGGTACAACTTTAGCAGTCAAAGAGTGAGATTTCATCTGTTATTTGATTCGAAGATGTAGAACCTAATCCAACCTGCTGATGCTAATGACTAGTTCATAACAAAGTTTCTGTTTAAAGAGAATTTAGATTTGAGATTAAAAAGTAAGGTTTGGCTTGGGTGAATCACAAATTGGTCATTTCATGGAAGTGGTTGCTTTTGAAAGACCGTCGTTTTCGAAAGAAGTATACCATTGTGAGAACAGCGCAAGCGAATCAAGTCCTTCTTTCTGTTACAAATCCAGCGTTAGCTAGGCCTCCATTGACCAAATCCTAATCTTTTGGTTCTTTACAAAGAGAACAGTTGTCCATTTGCTCGTGAAATCTCTCTACTTGAATGGTTGTATGGTGAATGTCATACTTTTTGGCGATTAACAAAGACGCTTCCTTCAAGACACTCTGCGTGGACCGGTTCTCGCCTGTTGAAATAAAATAGAATAAAACAGATTGTAAGAAAATGTAGGACATTTTAGATTTTAGGGTATGTAGGAAACTGAATAAGAAAAAAAGAAATTGTAAGAATATTTGGTTAGAATAATAGCAAAAAGGAGCCAGTGAACTATATTAAATAAATCTCTTGAGCCTCTGCAAGTCACAATAAAATTCCCACCTAAAGAGATGTATGGTCGTCCGTTTAAAACATTCACAAGAAAAACACTGGCATAATAAAAAGCCGCTCTACGGTCTTTCGTCCAACTTATATAATATAATAAAGAATATATAATTCTATAAAGAATGAACAAAAAATAAAATATTGCAAGATTTTTGACAGGAAATCAGTAACTCAGGCTCCTTGATGCAGCTACCAAACACAGGTAGACATTTGCTTTTAGACCAATCAGTTTGTTTTCTTTATTTTACAAGAAAATTCTTCATAAGCATGAATAAATTAAAAGGATTTCGAGGACTGGATCACAGTTGAGTTTTACACATGATAAAGCAAAAATGAACTCTGACGAGAGTCAAACGAAAAGTACTTTAGTATGACACTTTTCCGCTTTTCCGTGCAATTTTAAAAAATGATTGGAGGTCAAGGCACCAAAAACTTATGGCTTTATCAATAATTAGTTATCCCATAATACTGAAAGAAAAAATTTGCTGTGCTACTGCAAGGCAGAAAATGACATACCAACTGCCAAATGAACTGATAAAGCTGGTTTTCCCATCGTAAGTGACCAGATATGCAGGTTGTGCACCATCTTCACCTCCCTGATTTCTTCTAAATCATTCATCACTGCTTTGAAATCCAAGCCTCTTGGTGTTCCTGAAAAATACACAACAAACTTTCAATTATCAAGGTTCAATGACAATATGAGAAGAGAATGAAAATTCTTCCATTTTGCAAGTAAGTAACTGGCGGATGGATGAATTATTTTCGGAAAAATTTTGGTCTTCAAGTGACCAAATAAAAAAAACAGAACCAATTCTTAGTATAATGACATGAATCAACAGTAAAAAGCAGTGGCGGCTGGCACGAAAATAAGATGTAGTAGAAAAGCAAAAAAAATTAGAAGAGCGAACCAGCTAGAGAGGTTGGTGCAGGGACGTGGTCGCTGGGAAACATTTGGCAGGTCAGAAGTTTTCACACAATACCTCGGTTTGTTTGGTATTGCCATTGATATCGTCATGTGATATTGCCAACTGCAGAGGTTAAATGGCCTCACAGTATTTTATCACTAGGAAGAGGAATCTAGTACTGGGAACGATTTTTTCATTGTTGGATTGTCGAAAGACAAACGGTTCTACGTCACGTTGAGTCACAAATGACAATGGTAAAGACTTCTGCAGAACTGAATGAATGAGATCATGTACATAAAGGGCTTATTCAATGCCAATCTTTCAATTGAAAAAGTTAGAATTAAGATATGGTGTATTCCGCTGCTCTTCAATTTTTGTCATTAATTCAATTATCATAGGAAAAAGCAAAATCATTACAATATAAAAATATTTCGAGCTTTCAGAAAAAAATGGTACTAGACTGGTACAACTTGTTACAGGGATATTCTCTATTGCCAAGGATCACCAGATAATTTTATCATCAAATAGCCTTTTGCATAAGAACATTCTTTGACCCTGCCATTCCCATATGCACATTAAATACAAAACTCATAAAGTACAATTATTGAAAAGTTAATTCCTCTCTGCAAGGATTTAGAGTATTGTCCAAAATATCACAATTTGTATATTTGAACAGCAATTCTTAAATATATTAACTTTTAAAAGTGCTTGATATTGTTGTGTCTGATGCATTTCGCCCAGATAAATCATCAAGTTCCATAAACTTCCCTAAAGTGCCAACAATAAACAAACAGATGTTAACAAGAAAGATTGCAATTCTGATGTAATCTTTCTAATCTTTTCTTTTTTGGTGCAAATACCAAATTTAACAACTTAAAACAAAACATGCAAATTTGTAAGGATAAATAGGACATTGTAAGGTCAAGTTTAAAGAGTTGATGCATTATTTCTGCCAGTCTGAATTTGTAGCAGAATTTTGCATACTGCCATTTCTGATATATACACTATCTTTTGCAGGTTTTTTATCAATGGAAATTAAGTGAATTGAAAATTAATGACTTCTAACCGTAAAATCTTAAAGACTATCAGAAGAAGAAAGTGAATCACTTACCTTCCATTAAAACTAATAGGATGTCCCTCATAATTGTAAAAGTTGTTATTAAAACCAAAACAGAGAACAAGAAAGTGCAGATTGGATCTGCCATCCCCCAGTCCGGCTAAAAAATAACAAGATAAGCATGCTAATCAATTAAAATCATAAAGCAACTGTATTCTTTGAAGTCAACAATAGATGAGGTCTGTTATAGATAGGACATCCAAATCAAAATAAACAGGGTGAATGGGCAGCAATACAGAAGGAATATACAAGATGCTGTTTCTTATATTCTGTTGCTGAAAAAAGAATTTATGATAAAGCAGTATACACAGTGGTGGACACCTGGGGGGGGGGGGGCAGTGGGAATATGTCAAAAATATTTAGCTCACAAGCTAATTGGGTGATTGATTTTCATACCACACAGGTAATTTCAATCTTTATGCAGGAAGCAATTATATAAAAGCACATTATAAAAAAGTACCTTGAAATAAATGAGAATGGCAGCAATAAAAACTCCAACAGATTGAACGAGATCACCAATAACATGAATAGCAGCTGCCCTGACATTGATGTCCTTGTGTTTCTTGTGCTTTTTGGGGTCTTGAATCTCCACATCATCACTGGCTCCCTTACTCCCTGTGTTCATGTGACTGTGACTGGATTCAAGACTTGAGTCACTCCCATGACTATGGCCATGTCCCCCATGTGAATGTCCGTGCTCCCCATGCAGAGTAAGCCCAAGTCTAAGCATCAATAGAAAATAAAACAAATTATTTGCTATAATGAAGCTGTAACTACAAGCCACAAGAACATGATTGAAAATGATACAGTTTGCTATACAATGCTTTGCTAGGGCTGTCCAGCGATTATAGGGCTCACTTAAAATACACTGAATTCTAGATAACACGAGACTGTCCCATTCCAGAAGTCAATTGCAACAAGATGAAGTTGAAAATGAAAAACTAGGCCTGGCTATAAGACTTTTAACAGGGGGGCAGCTCTCCTAGTAATTTCTAAATAAGCTATTTGTAGATAAAGATAAGATTAGAAGAGCAATATGTAGCTCCTCTCCAGCATTTGAGGAGAAACTGGAGGGGAGCAAGAGCTATGGCTCTTTTTAAATCACCATGCCCGAAAAAATGAAGCACTTTTTGAAGAACTGTTTTGTAATAAAAATTGGTGTTTACCTTTACACTATATACCCTTTGGATAAAAAAAATTATGGCAATGATATTTTAAAATGGCAGCTGACAGTGGTCCTGGGCCTAAGGCAATAAATTTCTGAAACAAAATTACTAGGTGAAGGGACTTGGGAACAATAGTTAATGGCACAAAACGGCATTCACCATCTTTCTGAGTTTCAGTTGAAAACAAAATTAAATAATTAGTTTGCTGTTTTAAGTAAGAATTCAAATAAAAAATTGAAGTCACTGCTTCAAAACAGTTCCTGTAAAAATTTCTGAAGCATTCACAAAAGGTGACAATGAAATGAAGCTTTTATGAAAAAGGATGTAACAGTTAAGTAAAGATAATAGTAAAAAAAAATTGGTGTTCACCTTTAAACGGTGTGTAACCTGTTTCATGATCAATAATCTACAGGCTAAAATCTCACCTAAAAGAATCTTACCGGTAACAATCTTACTGTCAGAACAAAGATAAACATGTCCAGATTTAAGTATGAACTAAGTATGTTGTGCTTCTTCAAAATTGCCTACATTTTATCATGATTTTTTATCAAGGCTTCATTTTTTACAGTATATGTCTGAATATTAGTTCAATGTTTTCCCACGTTTTTATTCTCAAACAATAGAATAAACCTTCAAATTTATTTTCATTCCAAAGCCATTGAAATGGGGCATTATTTTCCCGCCAAAGTCACTAGCAACAAAGGCCCCTTCACCTAGTAAAATTGTTTCGCAAATTTGTCGGCTTAGGCCCTTGGCCAATGTGAGCCGTCGTTTTGACTATCGTTTCCAAACTTTTCCTTTCTAACTCTGAGTGTAGTTAAGTGTAGTACATACATCATTTTAGTACATTGCTTCTCCTTTATACACTCTTTCAGAATAACCAAGCATAAAATAAAAAAATCAAATAAATAAAAAAGGAATTGTAAATTGTCAAGAATTAATAGAATTATATATAAAAATATATATACTTACATAATATTAATGACAACTCCTACGCCAGATGTGATTAACATAACCTTTGCATCAATCTTCAAATGCCCTGCAACAAGTCTTTGAACAGCTTCATACACCAAGATGCCAGTCAAAATCCAAATTATTAGAACTGACAACAGGGCACCCATGACCTCTGGAATATACAACAATGTGTTAACATGAGAACAACAAAAGCAAATAGAATATAATCAATATGAAAATAACATCCATACTCTAAAAAAAACATTAGACAAATATGAGTTTCTGTTAGATTTTAGGATAATTTGATTTGAAAATTTTTTTGGTGGTACAGAATTTGAAAATGGCTTTGAAAAAAACAAACATTTTACAACATACTAAAAGCATTTTTCGTCTAACACTTCTCAGAGCATAAAACGTCAGAATAAGGGTCCGAAAGAACACGGTGAACATATATACCCAGTTGTGGATCGAAATAGGCCAATCAGAAAAATGCAAGCACAAGACAGGTATAGTTGACCAATCAGTGCCGCGAGCCTAGAGAAAAATTACCACTGGAGTCCAATTGTTTAAAGCATGTTTCCCTGTAACCCAAATAGGCTGTAGCAAAACTAAATGAAATGTAATGAAACTAACTGTAATGAAAATTAAAAAATAAAGTTGCTTTAGAGTTCTTACCGGCACGATGCCAGCCAAATGACATTTTCTTGGTTGCCTTTCTAGATCCTAACCAGATTGCAAAAAGACTGATCATGAAGCCAGCAAAGTCAGACAGAAGATGAGCTGCATCCGTCATGACAGCCAAACTATTTGCAATATATCCACCTTAAAAAGATCAGCCAAGTATTAAGAGTTGAAGTTGGACAACTGGCTTCTCAGATTTTTCATTTCAATGAAAATAGAAACATGGCTCTTGGGTGAGGTACCAATATAATATATTAAACATTTCCAGAACATACTAACATAAAGAATGCAAGAAACAGTATTAAGAAAGAACTATCTGTTGAAAGCTACATCACTTTTTACCTACCAATACAATGTTTTGGGATAAAAATTTAATATATAAGATGATATAATGATTTCATGATTTCAAATAAATAAAATATTGATGTCTCAACATGTTGGACAATGTGTGTAACTAATGAAAGACAGGAATTGAAACCAATTATAAAAAATAACTGTATTTATAAAATCAACCAAAAATGAGAGGATAGAAACATAACATTTGTTTGAATTTTGTTTGAAAGTGTTATTTACATCAATTTGCAAAATGTATCCACACAATGAATATGGAAAAGAAACCGCTTTGAAAACATGCTTCTAGCATAGCAATATTAATAGGGGTAATTAGGAACACACATTAGGAGGACTAGCCTAAAACAAAACTGAGATAGATGCTAGATAGAATTCGTGCAGACATTTAATACAGTTATTCAGAAGGGCTAACAATGTCTCCTTAACTTAAGCCCCTAGTGATCTTTGCATTGTGCCATTTTTAAATAATATGACGATAAGATGTAAAATAAGACCTATTCAAACCAGGGAAGCTTTACAGACTGTATATATTGTTACAGGCCTCACAAGTCATAGCAACATCCAGACAGCTTTAACACTTGGGTGAATGCATAATACTATTTGTTGACCAAAACCAATAGCCTATAAAGTAGTCGGTGGACTTAGTTTAGTTCTGGATCTGAAAATATACAGGAACCTGTCTGGGCAACAACTCACAGTGGGCAAACGTTCCAAACTGGGCAAACATGAACAAGACTGATCATGAACATGAACAAGGATTTTCATTTATATTTTAATCTATGCAAAATATTCATGAAAAAATTCCTACAAGAAAGTCTCACCACAAACATATCGATAACAGTCATTGGTGAAGACAGTAAGGAAACATCAAAATTTTTAGTACAGTAAAATAAATTCATTTAAAAATAATATTTGAGTCTTTTATCTACAGAAAACAAGACAATTCTTGGACAGAATAAATGGACTATGCATTTTTATTTAGTTTTGTTCTTACTTGCCTTTGTTTTGATAAACAGATTTACATTACATTTTGCAGCTGTTACATTGTTTTAATCTGTTTAATAGGATTGAAATAACAAACGTTTTACATGTGAGAGGCCATTAAATACCTTTGGTAGGCCTACTGTTTGCAGATTAATTATTATGATTAATTAGATTAATTATTGTGACTAGAGTAAATATTGAGGTAGTGGGGATTTTAGACTGTTTCTATATTCCTGAGAGGATTTATTTATGAAACAAAATAAGTGTAATACAATAAAGAGTTACATAATTGTGGACAAAGAGCTTATAGCCTTCCATCAAATAATTGGAATGTTCAAAAACACACAAGTTTAAACATCATTAATTTGTGATGGGACTGAGGACTTAAGGCTGGAAAATGTCCCCTAGTACTGATATGAAATTGAATTAAAGTTATTGTTTTAAGCTGTGAGAATCAAGAAATGTCACTTAATTTACCATTGGCAATGTTTTGATTTATAGAGTTTTGAAACTGGAAATTTCACATGAGTAAAAGTGAAAGACCTATAATCAAGTGCTACTAGTAAAAACTTTAAAAAGCTACACTGTCACAAAATCAATCTGTTCAAGGATCTATTCAAGGTATGAATAGTTTTCGAAAGTTTTTGAGAGGATACAAAGTTCTAATTAATTAACCAAGTTTTTAGCTGTTTCATAAATGGACTATAGGATCATATCCCCCAATTTGATGGCAAATTGGTTCGAAGAGTTGATAAATCAATTCTGTTGGAAATATCTCTCTCGCTGCTTATTAAAAGAAGATTTTCTAGCATTGTAGACAATATCAAGCGACGGTAATCTACAATATTACTGACAATGTGATAATTGTTCATGGAAAAGAATGTTATGGCTTCATGCCAAAATAAGCTTCTAACGATCTAGATTATGTACATAAGCCCCCCTCCCACCCCTCCAAATTTTTGTCATCAGATTTCCGAGAATCTCAAGGAACAAGTTTCTGAAAAAGTGGAGGGTCTAGTCCCCCCCCATCCCCACTAAAGCCTGCATCACAGAATAGGAATTAGGCAGAAGGGGGAACTCCTGCCTATCAGGTGAAGCCTGAAAAAGCTAACTTATACCATGCTTAGCATGTATCTGTCAGGGAAATTTTAAAAAAATATGAAAGTAGACAACTTTATTTGAGACGAAATGCCTCATGACAGTGAACAAATTCAATTATGTATGATAATTTGTTTATATTTGATTAATGAATGATAATTTGCCATGGCTAAGTCAATCTGTGGCTAAGTTCATCTAATGAAATTGAGGTTAAAGGGGAATTAAGGAATTCTATTGTTGACTCAGCTTCAAAAACAACAAAGGAACCAACGAAAGTTACCCTTTGCCTATTTCCTATTCTGTGCCTGCATGTAACACATGTATCTTTGGCCAGGTTCAGGGAAACAGAAGCACATTTTGAAGAGAGGGGGCTCTAGATCAGTTGACAAACTCCTATGGCATCATTATCTTTGATACCACAACCTTGGTATAAATACTTCAGCTTAAAGAAGGGGGTAACAGCAAAGTATGGCTTTGGCCTCCCTGAAATTGTGACATTCTAGGGAAAAAAAGTAAAACTTTGGCACTAAAGAATAATGTTAGAAAAAATTTTAATGTCTGTCTCTAGGAAAATAAAATAAAAAAATTAAATTAAATACATGATCTGTGGAGGAAAATTATGAAAAAATAAAAGCCATAAATTTTGGAAAAATAAATGCAATTTGCCGTCAAGCGATAGTTGGAGAAATTTTTAAGACACTGCAAATCAGAAAAATGCAATTGCGACTTTAGATTTTAGACTCACCGATAAATTCTCCGATTAGAAACACCAAACAAACGATGCTTGCTATCGTAAGCTTTCTTTGGGCAGACTTTGTTCCAGTCTTGTCGGGCTTTTTCGTGTGGCAGTGCAACTTTTTTTGGTCTTCATGACTCTCATTGGCCCCATAAGACGAAAAGGAATTTCCAAATGATCGCTGGACGAAGCTGACTTCATCAGAAATAACACTAACCATACTTCCCTCCCGCTTAATCCTCACATTTGGCAACTTCGTTTTCTTACCACTAGGCCCATCCAGGAGCAGGGGTAACGTTTCATCGACATCCATCGAAGTTGAGTTGGTCAAAGCATTTAATATGTGTTCAGATTGATCAGGGAAGCTGGAACAAATGCATGAAAACTTATTACACCCTTCTTTTCTACCTTCCATTCCATTTATGTTTTTTAATTTCACAACAACAAGTTCGTGTCTCCCCAAGCGGCATTAACAGGCGATGAAAAGAAGTCAATCAGACTGAAGCTTTGCAGGCACAGGTGCGTTGATAAGTGCGATTTGACAAAATATAATATGATACACAGGCAACAGGTTGAACACAAACTGGTACCAGCCGTCAGGATGTCACAACGGAGGCTCAGTCGCTAAAATCCCTTGTTTCAGAGTCACTTCTTTTTCTTAAATTGGGAAGAAACTCTTTTGCAAAGAATTATCTTGAATTATTGTGAAATTATGGTCTAGATAAAAAACTTCAAAGAAATAACAATAACCAAGAGATTACGTCACAAAGAATTACAAGCTACTTTTCAGCTAAGTGAATAAATGAATACATTTTATCTACATCTAGGTATATAAATTATAATATGTTATCATCAAGGCGAGGGGATCGCTACTCTTCCTTCTTCTATCGAAGTAACGAGTGAATTCTTGCTTACCTTTTGGCAATTCCTTCGTGGAATTCATTGGAAAATTCCAGGAAAGCTTTATTTTCGTAACCACTGTTGATCGTTAAATCGTTGTCTTGATTCATTTTTCCCAGTTCTAACGAGTCCTTACTGCTCATTCTACTTTGACAATTGCAACGGGTCTGTTGAAACAGGTTCAATCAAGCCACGGCCATTTAAAGAACAAGGCATCGTGTCGTGTGCAAAATAAAAGTTCCGTGTGCAAATCACTTTGTGATTTTCCGACTTTTGCAACACAGCTTCTGCTTCCTGGCCCATTCTCAGATCAGAATATAGGAAATTTTCCCAATTTCTAAAATACACTCGTCTAAAAGGTGGTGGTAGTAGTAGGCTTCTCGTAAAGAAAGTGGTTCGACTTTGGTACTTACCAGAAAATATGCGGAAGTATGGGTCCAACATTTTTAACAAAAGGGGGAGGGGGAGGGGGAGGGGGAGGGGAGGAGGGGGAGGGGGGAGTGGAGGGTAGGGGCTTGTAGAAACATGAGATGCGAATTTTACAACGAACGTATAAAATAGCTCTCATAATTAATTTGGATCCCATAATCTGAGAAAGTATCATGAAATACCTCTAAATGTGCAAAATCAGGCAAGTGTGTTACGAAATGGCAGAGATATCGCCGCATGTTTATTGGTTCTCTCCCCATGAAACCTCTGTATTTTGGTCTCTGTTCGTAACTTTATGAATAGATAGTTTTATATAGACAGTTGGTTTTTTATTGCATTTAGAAATGCCTGAATCAACAAACGGTGCTATTATTTGACTCTATCCTGTCTAGTTTTAACATTCTATGCACTACACCCTTTTTCATAAAAACAATACAAATTTGTTCAACACTGGATACTTTTTGGATAATTTTAGGCTTTGCTGTTCTCAAAGTTGTATTTATTTCAAAATTGATCTTTCTATATCTGCAAACTAAATAAGAATATAAGAATAATTTCAAAGTCCACTGAATAACAGTTCTGCATGACATTTTTAGTAGCACAGTTCATTAGCTGATAAATCGCCTCTGTTTTGTTAACACGAGAGGAAGTGTTTCAATTCAAAAATCAACCAATGGGTCATTATTATTAAAAAAAAGTTATCGATGCTTCCTTATCGATGCCATAAATATTTTAGATGCATTTCTTGCCGTTCTTAGAATGCCATATTTCGAAATTTTTCTCGCCGCCAACCATGGTGGCGGATTTTCTTGAACCCATGAGCAATATAAACGTTTTGCCTCTTCACTTGCAATAAAAGACCCCCCTCCCCCGGCCTACTCTTCCCACAGTATCGAAGCTCACATCCCAGCTGCCACTCAACACAGTCAATGTACCTGGCTGCTCAACCAATGTTCGAGAAAACATCAAACCTCACCATATTCAAATTGCAATTATTACATTACATGACAAGAGCAACTTAGAAATTTTATAGAGCCCCCCTTGTTAAAATTTTACGACTTCATTTCTGGTTAACACAAAAGAGAGATATGAACAGAAACCTAGAATTGTCATAGCGTACTTTTGATAAACATTAAAACTCACATATTTTAAAAAATTTCTCTACCTAAAAAATCATGCCGATTTAGCTAATGCACCACCCATTGATTCTGTTCCCCCCTAACTAATCAAATGCCAGTTTGGCCGCCCCCTTCACCAGGCCTAGACAGCGTAGTTGCACCCTAGTTCTTCCAAACAGCCCCGATATTCTTTGCCAAAAATGCATATGAATCGGCCGCTTCCTCGATCTAAAAGCAACAAGAACATCTTTAAATGAGTAAATGCAATCGCTGACAAAATGATCTATAATATAAAATACTTACTTAAACTTTCTTTAACTTTTATGCTTGGTGTTGTATAATCTTTGGCATAGCTTGAAAAAAGATTTAGGTGTCATATAACCTACTGATGGACGATTTTACCAACAGGTTTTGTGGACCAACTGAAAATTTTCAAAATGAAAATCTTATTGAATGATTCAGTAGTCCCCGCATCTTTAGTCTTCATTTAGCATTTTACTCTGGGTACCAGAGCCATAAAATTTCGAGCGCGTACACAGCGCTCCTCCGCTTCTCCACTCCTTGCTTCTGTTTTCAGTCTCGAATTTATGTGTCTCTGGTACCCAGGGCATTAGCTTTGATGACCACCTGAGTAAATCTCCTAGGCTTACCTTCGTATGCTTAGTGAACAAGTCAAAATCTTGGAAAGAAACTTACGAGCATGGCAGTCGGTTTGCCTTCCCCGTGACCTGCTTTCATTTCGATTCTTATCAACAAAGGATTGGTCTGAAACGAAATCCAGAGCTCATGCAAACAAAAGTAGAGGGGGCTGTAGGGGAATTATGAAATCCACAAACTCGCTACGTTTTATCGCATATTCTGCCATTCTGTTATATTTTCCCATCAATTGCGCAGCTATTCAATAGAAACCACAGACTGCGCCAATTCTTGTGAAAATTGAATAAAATTTGTTCAAAACCATACAATAAGGACAATCAAAGCTTCTCAAAATTCTGCAGTGATCTTCTTGATCCAGCACGCATGTGCCTTTTTTCCGAAAACCCAAAACCCGCTCCACAAAATCTTCGAAATCTGACATTCACAAGGGTCTCTGGATCCACAGTACATGTACAGAAATACAATCCGCGGATCTGCAGACCCCTAGTAGGAAGCAGTATTTGTCAGGAAGCATAGACCTACAACTCAATTGAATAACTCAATTGAAGGTTCACGCTCGCTCGTCTCCCCAACAAATTATGCTTTCTACTTACAAAAATCTTCCCTAGTCAAATAGTTCGAAATTTCTTAAACTGCTAAAATTTTCGAAAAGGCAGCAGAATCTGAAAGGTTGGGTTCAGGGTTGAACTTACCAGGGGGATGTGGGGGTGCGCCACTCCACAATATTTTTTTGTAAATCGGTAAATTCTGCTTCGATTCAGTAAAGCATTTTATGCAGCAACTAGTAACAAAATGATGCAAAAATATACTTTATTTACCGTTTGATCTTCTTTATCTTAAAGTTTGGATTTGAAATATTCGAGTTTCCGTCATTTTTCTATCGCCTTAAGGGTGTGGCACCAAAATCCATTCATTATCTAACAGCTCTACCAATCCTTGCTACTCAAACCCGGCCCTGGTTGGGCGAAAAAGTCGTTAATTTTGCCTTACTTTGATATGAAATGGCCCATACTCAAAACCTTACCTGGTTTTCTGCCGAGCCCATTACATGCTGGAGTTCAGAAATAAACTTGAATGAATGCAACGGCACAACTGTGTCGTCGTGGTCAGCGGTTAAGAGTAGCATAGCAGGATACTGGGAATTCTCTTGCTCAGGTTTGCGGATATTGTGAAGTGGTGAATAGCTAAGACAATGAACTTTGTGATCACGAATGCAATCTAAAACTTACATGAATATTAATTGATATATAAAAGCATTGCTTTAGGAAACTGGTTGAGATTCAAAATCTAGCCTGTTAGTTGCCCTTGCATGCTGGAATCCCTATACAGCTAGCAATTTTGAATCTCTATACAATGCAGGCACAGTGCAGCTATTAGACTAGCAAGGGCTATAGCTCCCTTCCTCCCTCCCCCCTCCCCCCTACTTGTTTGCAACAAAAAAAGGGGCGCTTTGTGGCTCTATCAAGGGCTTGGCATTAAACAATTTCTGTTATTATGTACGAATAATGAGTACATGAAAAGGGGATTTTCGTCAGCTCAATGGGCATCCATATATATATAAATATATTTATATATTTTATATATAGCAACGAGTTTGAGAAAATAAAACTACATGTTTTATCTCTACAGGCCTGTTTCGTGATTGACTAACTTTTCAGAAGATGTGAGATCAAGCAAGGGCGGGAACTTTGAATATATTGCAAGTATTACAAATCGTTGAGTTTTTCGCTTTTTTGCAAAGTTAGCGCGTTTATTCACTTTTTTGCAAAGATCATCATCACCATCACCATCATCATCATCATCATCATACTCATAATCATAATCATCATCATAATAATCATCATCATCATCATCACCATCATCACCATCATCATCATCATCATCATCATCATCATCATCATCATGAGAGATCAAGCAAGGGCGGGAACTTTGAATATATTGCAAGTATTACAAATCGTTGAGTTTTTCGCTTTTTTGCAAAGTTAGCGCGTTTATTCACTTTTTTGCAAAGATCATCATCATCATCATCATCATCATCATCATCATCATCATCATCATCATCATCATCATCATCATCATCATCATCGTCATCATTATCATCATCATCATCATTATCATCATCATCATCATTATCATCATCATCATCATCTTCATCTTCATCATCATCATCATAATCATCATAATCATCATCATCATCATCATCATCATCATCATCATCATCATCATCATCATCATCATCATCACATCATCATCATCATCATCATCATCATCATCATCATCATCATCATCATCATCATCATCATCATCATCATCATCATCATCATCATCATCATCATCATCATCATCATCATCATCATCATCACCATCATCACCATCATCATCATCATCATAATCATCATCATCATCATCATCATCATCATCATCATCATCATCATCATCACCATCATAATCATCATCATCATCATCAGTTTCGTCATCACCGCCTATTCACAATATCGAAGCACCATTCATCTTCATTCTTCGTACATTGCAAAAGCCGTGCTATTTTTTTAGACTGGTACGCGGTGCCTGATACAATGGCCTTCTTGTGTAAACATCCTTAACTATTTTGGATTTTATACAGGAATGAATGATATGGTTAACGTGTTTTCATTCATCAGCAGATAGCTTTGTGGTGTTCAACACTCTTTAATCGAATTTTGAGGTCAGTTTAAATTAAAATTGTTACGGTAAAATGAGGTATCTCGATAAGGTGGTTAACTGGATACATTTTGTATTGAGAATCGACACTAAACTATTGTCTTAGATAGAAACGTGTCGTAGATATTAAAAAAACATACTTAATAAGATATTCAAATTCGTTTTCTTTATCAGCACAACCAAACTCTGTTACCCTAAGGAGAGAGATAAAAATTTACTAGCAGTGACGAACACTAGGGTTTTGCGAGGTCAAATGAAAATTTAACTTCAAATAATCTCTACAAATGTAATATATGCTTTGGAAAGATTACAACAATTATAATTTACAAACCAGATATGTCCGATCGTAAACTTATGGAACTTTAACATGTCCAGAAGTCTGCAAAGAAATCAATTCATGAGTTGCCTATGGAATGTATCGGAATTGAAAAAAACGAAATTAAAACCAGTTGTGAACTATATGCAGTGGTGGCGCCAGAGGGGGGGCAGGGGGGGCTACAGCCCCCCCGTCGGAGGAGGCTAGCCCCTCCGTCGGAAGATAAATTATGCTTGAATTTTTTTTGTCGGAGCGAATTTTTTAAGTTTTGGCGGAAATAGAAATTTCTAAAAGGACTGTTATCAGAATTCAGGAAGCTCATCCCAAAACAACTCATCGACACATCAATTTCATGGTAAATAATAATCTGTTATAAGAAGTTTGAATTGGTTGTTTAGATGTTCAGTACCAGGTGTTTTCCGCATGCTGTTAAATTTGATCTTATGTTATGGATAGTGCAGTTCGTCCAAATCTTGCTTGCTATAACCAACCTACAACATCGGAATATTTTTGTGCGATAGCGATATGGCAACAAATGTTACCCGTTTCAGTGTTAGATGTAGTATATGTAATGACGTATTTAACAATGATTACGCTGCCCGCCACACGAAGTCCAAGCACAAAGATTTGGCTGCAATGGGAAGGACTGCTCCTACGACGGCAATAGTTGAAACGGACTCGCAGCAGAGAAAAATAAAAACATTTTTTCAATCAAAAGGCGGTACTTTTCCAAAGAAACGAAAGGTTAATGATTTTGAAACTGAAAGAACAACAGAAGACCCCGAAGAACAAGAAGTTGAAATTTCGAAAATTCAAGACGAAGAGCAAATCGAACGTGGTATGTTATACGTTTTAATATTTAAGTCCTTTTAATACGAGGAAAAACACTTAGCAAAGGGCTTCAGCCATAAAAACAATCAAACTCATTTACGTAGTAGCTAAGCCATTTTACCCCATCCCAACCATACATATTTGTAGTGTTTTGCTTCTACGTACACGTTTTTTTATTTATAAGAAACTTGACTCAAGCCCAGAGTACTAATAGTTTCCAAATTTCTTATTTTTTACTATTTTTAAGGGAAACCATCTATTACTATTTACGATAAATCCTTCTAGTTTTTTTTATAAACAAGTTCCTTATTAAGAAAAAAACGTGTATTTTTATAGGAAACCTAGCTCTCCAGAAATTAAAAGTTTCTTATTTTCGGACCTATATAATATGGGATTTCACTGCGACTGCGACATATTTAAACAAATATACCTGGCTATGACTGGATGAGGAATAAACCTTGTTAGACGTATAAATTTCTTCGTTTTATTTACAAATAAAAATAATTTTTTGGATGATTTTGATATTAAGAGTCACAAAAGATTGATTAGTAAAAATGCCTTTTTGTCCATCTCCCAGGAGATATTATAATCTTTTTCACACATGTAAAACAGGGTAGTAAATCATTTGTTTAAACTTCCAGGTACAACTTCTAGCTTGGACCCCGAAGTCACGAATGTAGATGCTGACAACTACGTCACCATTTCGGAAGCCGAACAGTCGATGTCGGACATTGTGGAAGCAGCAAATGAAAGCGACAGCAACGAGGATATCGAGGAAAATTTGGAACAGTTGGAACTCGAGTTGGAAGATGAAGTTGATCCTGCAGGATTATCAGCCGAAGGTATACTAACTAGCTATCAGATATAATCGTAACTCTCCATTAACCAGCGGCGTAGGGGGGTACTAAAAAGTGGAAGGGCGCGTGAAAAAAGGGCACCTTGGTATGTAATTAAGACGAAGGCAAACCCTGCTAGAAGGGCACGGGGGCATGCTCGCCCGGAAAAGTTTTGCATATAAGCAGCCACTTTGGCTCCCATAGCCTCTTTCGCACTAAAGCTCAAAGAAAAGTCTAAAACAATGAAAAGAGGCACTTCTCAGATATAAAATAGGGCACTGCCAAGAACTTAACAGGAAAAAAGTTTGCAAAGTGTGATGGATAATTTTTTTCGTTTTAGCACTTCAAGGAGATTCGAGAGGACCGCAACTTACACTATCCGTCGCTGGCCCCAAGGACATATCCTCAACCAAAGACGGCGGACCTGTGCAGCCTCGTAATATTTCCTTCCCTACACATTTGATTGGCAATCAGCATCGCGCATTCACACCTTTGCTGTATGAAAAGTATCCCTGGATTGAGTATTCGCAAATGGAGGATGCCATCTTCTGTTTCCACTGTCGTAATTTTTCAGAGAATCGGAAGGATCCAGCGTTTGTTAGTCAAGGCTTGCGCAATTGGAAAAGATGCTATGGCACCAAAGTGAATGATAACAAACTCTTGCAACATCAAACCAGCCATCTTCATGCCCAAAGTGTAGCTGCTAAAGCGCACTATGAAAACGTTAAGTCTGGAAATTTTCAGACCATTGCCACACTTCATGATGCCGCTTATTCGAAACTGGTTAAAGACAACAGGCATTACATGCGAGTGATTTGCGAAGTCCTGCTTCTCACTGCTCAGCGGAAGATTGCCCAACGTGAGACTGGAGGTTCATTTCGTGTTGCCGATATAAATAAAGAAGCTCTAGACTATGGACCTTCTTGTGGTAATTTTCTTGCGATACTTGGTCTTCTTGCAAGGCATGACCCAGTTGTTGCTGACAAAATCCGCACTGGCCCGAAAAATGCAAAGTATACTCACCACAGCGTACAGAATGCCATCTTAGACATTATGAAAGACATGGTTCTTGAGCAAATAAAAAGTGAGCTCAATAAGGCTCAGTATTTTACCGTCCTTTCAGATGAGTCTAAAGATAGAAGCAAAAAAGAGCAGCTTGTTGTTGCAGTCCGTTACTGCTACGAGAATGCCATACATGAGGAATTTATTGGCATTGCTGAGGCGCAAAGTTTAGATGCAGATGGTCTTTCAGACACAATAATTGAACGATTGCAACGCATCGAAGCCAACATGAAAGCATGCGTGGGGCAAGGCTACGATGGAGCTTCTGTTGTTTCTGGTCACCTGAATGGCGTTCAAAGGAAACTTCCTCTGAAAACCGGTGCTGAAATGGCTTACTACGTCCATTGCTTTTGTCATCGATTGAACCTTGTGATCGTCGATGTTGTGAAATCAATCAGTTGTGTGGCAGACATGATATCGCTATTCAGAAGCCTGCATTCTTTTCTGAGCAGCAGCACCGTTCATGTACGATGGGTAAAGGTCCAAGAGGATCACAAGGTTCATGTGATGGAAATTGGAAAAGTTTCTGACACGAGATGGTCTTGCCAGGCGAAGCAATTCAATGTTTTCTGGGAGCGGTTGGATATCTTGGTGGAAGTCCTGCAGGATGTGATTGACACAGATACGAACCCCGGTCGCAGAACAGAAGCTACTGGTTATCTTCTGCAGATTGACAGGAAATTTGTGAGATACCTGTTTGCCATCCGACACGTCTTGAACAAAGCCAAATTTGCGTCTGACATGTTGCAGAAACCCTCCAATGATTTGAGTCAAGCCATTGATCTCATTGCAACATTGAAAGATGAACTGGATGACTGTCAAAGCAGGGATAAGATTCAAGAGTTCTGGGATACTGCCGAAGAAGCAGCGGATCGCTTGGAATTGCCGGAAGAAAAAAGACCACCAAGAAAGAGGGCAACGCCTGCTTCTCTTCGAGAGTTTGTTGTGGAAGCATCTTCAGAGCCTCAAGTAGCAAGCGGGTTTGATGGCTACGTACAAAATGTCAAAGAAATACTAAACAGAACAACTGCAGAACTTTGCAAGCGGTTTGACGAAAAAAACATAAAGATCATGAAAGGCATAACTGCATTGGCCCCCAAGTCGAAAAGCTACTTGGACCCAACAACTCTTGTCAATTTTGCTGAGCTTTTTCAGTCTGAAATTGGTGCACTACGCAGTGAAATTGCCACATTTAAATATATGCTCTCAAGAAAAGAAGAAAAACACCGCCCAAGCACACTTCTGCAACTAGAGGCACACTTGGAAAAGCTAAATGAAGCTTTCTTTGAGCTGCACCGGCTTGTATCCATCGCATGCACTTTGCCAGTCTCTTCAGCCGAATGTGAACGCAGCTTCAGCTCTATGCGCCTCATCAAGAGTGATCTGCGCTCACTTATGAAGGACGAGCGTCTAGACAGTCTGATGATGCTAGGTATTCATCGTGCCCGTGGAAGTGCTCTTGACTTGGACTCAGTAGTAGACAGATTTAAGGCTAAGTTCCCGAAGAGTAGAATTGCTCTGTGAAACAATTTTGATTCTTGGACTTGAATTTTCGATATGTAGAAGTGCGTATTCCACCGCTTAGGTCTGTTCCTATAAAGTTACGTTGTGTTCCAGTTTTCCTTAAGTTCAGTTGGTTGCTTTTTATTTAAATTCATACTTTCCAAAGATAGGCCCTACTTGAATTGGCAACGTTTGATGAGTTGTAAAGATTTAGAGTAGTTTTAAGCTTATCTAGAGGCAGCTTTCAAA